GGCTAAATCAGTGCCCCAGTCTACTTGTCCTGATAAAAAATACATTTTAACCAAAACCATATTTAAGGTGTTCTAGGAATGTCGGGGGGGGGGGCTTTTAAAAACAAAAGAGGCTTTATGGCGACTTAAACGTGTAATATTTTTACCATTGCGCTGTTGATCTCCTCCTCCTCCCCCCGCCTGTCTCCCGCACCGCCCCTGAGGACTAGTAGGGAGGGGAGAGACCTTGCACCGATCTCCAGCTGTTGTGGAACTACGTTTTCCATGAGGCATTGCAAATCTTACAAAACTGACAGTTACAGCTATGACATGCAGAGTCATGATGGAACTTGTAGTCCTGCAACAGCTGGAGAACCGCAGGTTGCCTACCCTTGTCATAGGGAAAAAGGCCCTTTATGTGATGATATTTGGTGACAGGTTCTCTTTATTGAGACATCCAAGGTCTAAAAGACCCTGCATGTCTCCCCTGTGCTCCCCTGAATGTAATGCAGTGCACATCGCACCGCATTACATTCTTTCCCGGCCTCCATGGCCGGGAATCTCTCAACGGGGACCGGAAGTGACATCATAACGTCACTTCTGGGTCAGGACAAGAAGGGGAGGGGAGCAGACGTGTCCCATCTAGCCGATGTCGGTGAACAGGTCCCGGGCCCGCACATGGGCAAGCAGAGCCCGGGAGACATAGCGGGGTGGGGGGGGGGGGGGAGGCTGGAACTGGAAGCAATCAGCGGCTACGATGCCGCCCGAATGCTTTCACCTGACAGGTGAGCCCTGCTGCTTGCCCGGAGCAGCGCTGAAGGTTGGAAAAAAACTACCTGCCCGGAACTACATGACCCGGGCGTCAGGCGATACGAATCCAACATCGCTGTGTTCATTCCTTTTCACAGTTGGCTCTATTGACCCTTGCTAGTTGTAGGCCTGTTGGCACGGTTCTCTTTGCCTTGTGGTTACCCGCCCTCCTCATTCATTGCTTGTGGGCCTCCCAGGGTCTCTGAATGAACGACTTGCTGACCTCCCGACGTACTGGCGGTATGGCTCATACTGCCATTGGCAGTGGCTTCCGGGATCAGAGAGCGCGCACGCCGTCCTCCCGCCCTTCCAATGTGGTTAAAGGAGAAGTACGGTCAAAGCTCTGTTGGCCTCTGTGGGTGACAGGAGTGCACTTTGTTCTCCTATGACACAGAAAAAGCCGGCAGTGGGCCAGAACCAGCTCTGGCTCTGCAGGGATCCCAACAATAGTGTCAGGATCTGCCCGGATTCCTTACCAGCAGTCTCTCCGTGAGAGCCTGAGCCAGCTGCTTCTACCCCCTGCACAGCCTGATGCTATGGTGCGCGCTGGAGGGGCAGAGCAGGGAGCCGGTGACTGTCAGTCAGTGAAGGCCAAGAACTGAGTGATCAGCCAAGCAAGGAATTTTCTCCTACCCAGCCCTGACAATGGGGAGGTCCTGATTCGAGGGTCTTGTGATTGCTCAGTTCTCGGTCTTAGAGCTGGCCAGGGACAGCTCCAGCATTGGATTGACGCTGCAGCCACAAGGGTGAGTATAGAGGTTTGTTTTTCTTTTTAAATCCCATACTTCTAAAATTAAAGTCATTTTGACCTGCTTGTAAATTCCAGGTCTTCGAGTGCAGCCCAGGCCACCCTCCCTCCCATTAATTGGTTACTCCGCATTGCTTGCTGCAAAACCGAGGACCCGTGGACTGGGGTTGGGTTGTATGGAGAAGTTCAGTTCTTTCAATCATGGAGGCATGGGATTTACCCGGTACAGTTTGCATGCCAATCCATCCAGACTGACGCCCACCCATCATGGCATTTTTGATATTTGCATATCTCCTCCCAAGAGCCAGCCCACAGCTTTCATCAGGGCTGAGGGCTGTTGAGAGGGAGTCCTGGGGCAAGGAGTCCTGCGGGCCTTCCCACCAGCCATGATCTGCGTACATTGCATAGAGACCCAGTTATGAATAAAGTATTTATCTGATATGTGAAAATAAAATATAATAAATAATATAACCACAAATAATAGCGCTCACAAAAAATAAATATATAAATCATAACCGTAATAATAATTTTGATATTATTACTCCACCACCAAAATATGTGAAAAAAATATGAAATAATAATTAATAGATCCTCATAAAGTCCATTCAATAAAGTCCACATATGTATATGATCTTCAATTAATTGAAGATCATTTAATTGAAGATCATATACATATGTGGACTTTATTGAATGGACTTTATGAGGATCTATTAATTATTTCATATTTTTTTCAAATTTTTTTGGTGGTGGAGTAATAATATCGATATTATTACGGTATATGATTTATATATTTTTTTGTGAGCGCTATTTGTGGTTATATTATTTATTATATTTTATTTTCACATATCAGATATATTTGGGTTATTACTGTATAATAGCAGCTCCTATGTTATATTTCATGGTACTACAATCCTGAGGCGCGATGATGTAGACTTTGGAATATATTGATATAATATTAACCGGTTCCCGCCCGGCCTATGGCCAGATGGCGTCCGGCAAAACACCTCGTCGCTCCAGGTGGACGCCATATGGCGTCCTTTCAGGCATGCGCAGTTTGCGTGGCCGCAGAGCCACGCAGCGGCGTGATCTGTCACTGGCCGTGTACCTCGGACACAGCCGATGACAGATATGAGTACCAGCCCCGTTGCCGGCACCATGTGACCTGCTGTGACCAGTCACAGCAGGTCACATGACAGTTGTATAGAATGGATGGCTTCCTGTCATGCCATCCATTGTATACAAGTGTGTCTAGCTGTGAATGGTCACAGAGATCACATGCACAAGCTGGGCCAATCACAAATGCTGTGATTGGTAAATGCTTGCTTATAGCAAAGTAATTCTTTGCTATAAGCAAATTGTGTAAAAAAAAAAAAAAAATATATATATATATATAGATCACTTCCCCAAAGTAGTACAATGGTAACATTGTACTACTTTGGTCATAGTGAAATATGAAAACAAAATCTTTAAAAAAAGAGAAAAAATGTAATAAAAAAATTAAAAAAAAAAAATTTTTCGTACTGTCACCAGTCAGTGTCCCTGATCACTGCCATGCCAGTTATATGATGATGCTGTACTGCACTGGTGACAGTATGTAAAAAAAAAAATAATAGTGAAAGTAATTTTTTTTATTCATTTCCAAAAAATTATGACAAAAAAATTACAACTTCAAAAAACTCACCATGCCTCTTATGAAGAACGTCGGATTGTCTACTTTGCAAAAAGGGGTCATTTGGGGGATATCTGTACTGTCCTGACATTTGGGGGATATCTGTCCTGTCCTGACATTTGGGGGATATCTGTCCTGTCCTGACATTTGGGGGATATCTGTCCTGTCCTGACATTTGGGAGATATCTGTCCTGTCCTGACATTTGGGGGATATCTGTCCTGTCCTGACATTTGGGGGATATCTGTCCTGTCCTGACATTTGGGGGGATATCTGTACTGTCCTGACATTTGGGAGATATCTGTACTGTCCTGACATTTGGGGGATATGTGTCCTGTCCTGACATTTGGGGGATATCTGTACTGTCCTGACATTTGGGGGATATCTGTACCGTCCTGACATTTGGGGGATATCTGTACTGTCCTGACATTTGGGGGATATCTGTACCTTCCTGACATTTGGGGGATATCTGTACTACTTCCTGACATTTGGGGGATATCTGTACCTTCCTGACATTTGGGGGATATCTGTACCTTCCTGACATTTGGGGGATATCTGTGCTGTCCTGACATTTGGGGGATATCTGTACCTTCCTGACATTTGGGGGGATATCTGTGCTGTCCTGACATTTGGGGGGATATCTGTGCTGTCCTGACATTTGGGGGATATCTGTACCTTCCTGACATTTGGGGGGATATCTGTGCTGTCCTGACATTTGGGGGGATATCTGTGCTGTCCTGACATTTTGGGGGATATCTGTGCTGTCCTGACATTTGGGGGTTATCTGTACCGTTCTGACATTTGGGGGATATCTGTACCGTCCTGACATTTGGGGGGATATCTGTACTGTCCTGACATTTGGGGGGATATCTGTACTGTCCTGACATTTGGGGGGATATCTGTACTGTCCTGACATTTGGGGGATATCTGTACCGTCCTGACATTTGGGGGATATCTGTACTGTGCTGACATTCTTGGACCTCAAGAAATGAGATTGGCTGTCAGTACTTCAGGATTGATCAATATTCAGATATATCCCATAGTTTGTGAACTCTCTAATTTTCCTACAGACTAAATAATACATCCTAATTTGGGTTATTTTCACCAAAGACATGTAGCAGAATACATCTCGCACTAAATTTATGAGGAACAATTATTTATTTGTAAACTTTTATAACAGAAACAAAGAAAAATGTGGGTTTTTTCTCAAAATTTTTGGTCCTTTTTGTTAATTTAGCAAAAAAAAAAAAACCCCAGCAGTAATTAAATACCACCAAAAGAAAGCTCTAGTTGTGTGAAGAAAATGATAAAATTTTAGTTTGGGTGCAATGTTGTATGACCGCGCAATTGTCATTCACAGTGTGAGAGCGCTGAAACCTGAAAATTGGTCTGGGCAGGAAGGGGGTAAAAGTGCCCGGTATGGAAGAGGTTAATATTATTCACCAGGGTTTATATATTTTTTACATAAGAATCTTTTATGAATAAAGTTTGTTATGAAAATGGAAGGGTGTTACCTAAATATTCCTTTAGTATGCAGGGAGGAAGGAACCAGGGAAGGCAAATGTTCTCCTTTATAGACTGGGGAAGGCTCAGAACCTCCATGAAGTTAGTTTTGTCCCTTCTCAGAAAATGTACCCTCGGTTCCTGTCCGGGTGACACCTGGGACTGAGATGGAATAACCTGAAAGTCTCCACCCCCCTCCCGCATTCTATCCAGGGCTAGGAAGAAAGTTTTGGTTGGAGTTGGGCTCAAGTCCCCGCAGATGGGAGGTGTAACTGTCTTCCTTTTGTCTCTAGGTTTACCGTCTGGATGACGCATGCTGCTTGTTCACACTGCAGGGTCACTCGGGAGGCATTACCGCCATTTACATTGACGAGGTGAGAGTCCCCTGATTGGAGGCTGTGTATGTAGAACTCAATCGCCAGATCGCCAAAACCGCTCCCTTTATTTGGCCTCGTTTTGCCATGTTTCACTGCTGCCTATCACCCCACACCCCACCGCCCTCTTCCCTTGTTTATAAGTATGTCTCTGTATGGGAATTTCCTCCAGATTTGAGCCCTAAACATAGAGCGAGGAGGAAAATGAGGAGTGTAGTGCAGTGCAGCCTAAGGCCCCTTACTGGTGGAAAATGCCCTACCCCTATCACCCAGGCCTGCTGAGAAGCCATCAATCGCCCCATCATCTAGAACCCCTGGGAGGCCACCAGTCCCCCAAAACACTTTTGCTCAGAACCAGTAGAAGACTTCCAGCCAACCATTGCCACCATCTAGGACCGCTGGAAGGTTACCAACCATCCCTTACCACTGCCTAGCACCACTGGTTGGCCACCAAGCACCCCTCCACCTTAGACCACTTGGAAGCTGCCAATCACCCTACTGCCCAGAACCAGTGGAAGGCCACCAGTGACCCCCACAACCCAGGACCATTGGGAGGCCACCCGTCACCCTACCACTATGGGCCACTGGAGGTCACCAATTGGCTTTACTCCACCACCCAGGACCACTGGAAGGCCACCTATCGCCCCCTTACCGCAGACCACTGGCTGCCTATCACCTTACCCCACTGCCCAGAACCAATAGAAGTCCACCATTCATCCTACTCCACTACCCAGAACCACTGGGAGGCCACCAGTTGCCCTACCTGTCCACCAAGGACCACTGGGAGGTCACCAACTGCCCTACTCCACCACCCAGGACTACTGGGAGGCCACCAATCACACCCCTACATCAGACCACTGAGAGGCTGCCTATCACCCCACCCCACTGCCCAGAACCAATGGAAGGCCACAATTCATCCTGCCGCACTGGAGGGTCACCAATCACACCAAGCCACTGCCCAGAACCACTAGGAGGCTACAAATCACCCCAGGCCACTGCCCAGAACCATTTGGAGGCTACAAATCACCCCAAGCCATTGTCTAGGACCACTGGGAGGCCATTAATCACCCTACTTCACCACTCAGAACCACTGGGAGGCCGCCAATTGCCCTACCTGTCCACCAAGGACCACTGGGAGGCCATCAATCGCCCCACCATCCAGGACCATTGGGGAGGCCACCAGTCACCCTACTCCACCACCCAGGACCACTGGGAGGCCACCCATCACCCACTCCCCCCCCCCCCCCCCACCTCAGACCACTGGAAGGCTGCCTATCACCCCACCCCACTGCTCAGAACCAATGGAAGTCCACCAATCGCCCTACCACACAGTAACACTGGGAGGCCACAAATCACCCCAAGCCACCGCCAAGGACCAATGAGAGGCCACCAATCACCACACTACCCAGAATCACTGGGAGAGCCAATGGCTCCTTCTGCTGTCTCTGAGCCAATGAGGAGGGAAATAGCTAGGAGAGTCGCTGATCTCGCTGGTCTGAGATCAAGTTTAGGTACTGGGGGGGAGCCCTTACACTGAAGGTAATAAAAAAAAAACCAAAACTTCAGGCTTTACAACCACTTACAGGATCTGTCGGTTATTTTTCAAGAGTTCTGCTGTGTGATTCTGCAGATATTAACCAATCACGCGTCTTCTGTTCTTTCCGCAGACAATGGTCCTGGCCAGCGGGGGGCAGGATGGAGCCATCTGCCTGTGGGACGTCCTGACAGGTAGTAGAGTTAGTCACATGCATGGCCACCGCGGTGACATCACTTCCCTGATCTGCACGACATCGTACGTGATCAGCAGCGGCCTGGATGATGTCATCAGCATATGGGACCGCAGCTCGGCCATCAAACTGTACTCCATACAGCAGGTGAGTGGATGGGCGATAGTTCAGATTTTCAGATCTGTGTGCACAGCTGAGCTGGTGGTGCCGGGTCATTGGAACCTTTTTGGAAAGATAAATCTAATGCACACCATAGATGTCAGGACTGAACATCGGCAGTTTTCAGCAGTCAGAAGTGAACAGTGCTTGGAGACCAATGACCATGGATGGACTGAGGGGTAGGCAGAAGAGGTAGCTGTATAGGTGCTTCAGCAGAAGAGGGGCGCAAACAGTGCAGGACCTGCAACTTATAATCCTGAGGTAGGTCACAGCTCATGGGAAGGACACTTTGGCCTTTCCACCTTTGGTGCTCAATTACCTTGTCCCAGAACTGCCCAAAATAATGTTCCCATTCTAGCACTCACTCATGAGCCCCGAACAACAGCAGACCAGCAAATTTCCAGCACGTCTAGTTTTACAAGCCAAAGCATTACCATGATATCTCACTTGGCATGTCATGGAGGTGCAGGAGGATATTGTCTGGCATACATTATATCAGTGGTCCCCAAACTGTGGCCCTTCACTTGCCTTTATCTGGCTGTTGGAGCACTTTTTGTGCCACTGATACAAGACACTATTCATCTTATTGACACCAACCATGGGGCATAATTCCTGCTACTGACATCAAACCGGGTACTGTTTCTCCCACTGAGACCAACAATAGGACATTATTCCTCCCACTGACACCAACAATAGGACACTATTCCTCCCACTGACACCAACAATAGGACATTATTCCTCCCACTGACACCAACAATAGGACACTATTCCTCCCACTGACACCAACAATAGGACATTATTCCTCCCACTGACACCAACAATAGGACACTATTCCTCCCACTGACACCAACAATAGGACACTATTCCTCCCACTGACACCAACTATAGGACACTATTCCTTCCACTGACACCAACAATAGGACACTATTCCTTCCACTGACACCAACAATAGGACACTATTCCTTCCACTGACACCAACAATAGGACACTATTCCTCCCACTGACACCAACAATAGGACACTATTCCTCCCACTGACACCAACAATAGGACGCTATTCCTCCCACTGACACCAACAATAGGATGCTATTCCTCCCACTGACACCAACAATAGGATGCTATTCCTCCCACTGACACCAACAATAGGATGCTATTCCTCCCACTGACACCAATGATGGGGCGCTATTCCTCCCACTGACACCAATGATGGGGCGCTATTCCTCCCACTGACACCAATGATGGGGCGCTATTCCTCCCACTGACACCAATGATGGGGCGCTATTCCTCCCACTGACACCAATGATGGGGCACTATTCCTCCCAATGAGACCAATGATGGGGCGCAATTCCTCCCAATGAGACCAACGATGGGGTGCTATTCCTCCCACTGACCCCAACGATGGGGCGCTATTCCTCCCACTGACCCCAGGACAGTTTCTACTCCCAATGGTCACAGTCTGGCCCCCTAAAGTCTGACAGTAAATTGACCCTTTGTTTAGAAAGTTTGGAGCCCCATGGCACTATATGTCCAAAAGCCTGGGTCCCCCTGAGTATCATAGCTGTATCTACTAGTTGGACATCCCATTCCAAAACCATGAGCCCCCTCTCCCCCATGGCCATTAATATGGAGTCGCCCGCTTTGTGCCTATAACATCCTCTGAGGCGACTTTCCACAAGATTTGAGGGGTGTCTGTGGGATTTTGCTCTCTTTGGTGAAGTACTGTACTTGGTTTATCCCATCACATTCCTTTCTGGAGAAGGCCTGCAGTAAGGGGGCGCTGTATCCCCTACCAGCCGGTGGACTGGTATCAGCATAGATGGGAACATACTGTCAGCTGCCGGCACACTATGGATCCCAAATGTCTATGGAATTGATGATTGAGTGCAAGTGCAATGATCCGAGGCCATGCGGGACATCGTCATCAGGCATGTGAGAAGTGCAATCCACCAATCAGCAACGGCAAAAAGCTTCCCCTAACCTCTGACATCATAAATCCACCAAAATGATGTAAGAAACATTGATTACAATGCAAAGAGGGTCACATGTATGTCAGAAGAGGGTCACATGTATGTCAGAAGAGGGTCACATGTATGTCAGAAGAGGGTCACATGTATGTCAGAAGAATAAACTGGGGTAAACAAAGTGAGTGTGTCTGCCTTAGGCAAGTCTCGCCATCCCTGCCATGTCCTGAAGCAGGCTTTGTGGTGCTCTTCCAATCCGACAGATGTGTGGGATCAAGCTGGCCTCCTCCTTCACAAGCTGGCCTCCTCCTTCACATACAATGCAGGGTAAATAGAGGGAACAGTATAAGGGGGCCAGGAGAGAACGGTATAGGGGGGCCAGGAGAGAGAGAACGGTATAGGGGGGCCAGGAGAGAACAGTATAGGGGGGCCAGGAGAGAACAGTATAGGGGGGCCAGGAGAGAACAGTATAGGGGGGCCAGGAGAGAACAGTATAGGGGGGCCAGGAGGAAACAGTATAGGGGGGCCAGGAGAGAACAGTGTAGGGGGCCAGGAGAGAACAGTGTAGGGAGGCCAGGAGAGAACAGTGTAGGGAGGCCAGGAGAGAACAGTGTAGGGAGGCCAGGAGAGAACAGTGTAGGGAGGCCAGGAGAGAACAGTGTAGGGAGGCCAGGAGAGAACAGTGTAGGGGGACCAGGAGAGAACAGTGTAGGGGGACCAGGAGAGAACAGTGTAGGGGGACCAGGAGAGAACAGTGTAGGGGGACCAGGAGAGAACAGTGTAGGGGGACCAGGGAGAGAACAGTGTAGGGGGGGGCCAGGAGAGAACAGTGTAGGGGGGCCAGGAGAGAACAGTGTAGGGGGGCCAGGAGAGAACAGTGTATGGGGGCCAGGAGAGAACAGTATAGGGGGGCCAGGAGAGAACAGCATAGGGGGGCCAGGAGAGAACAGCATAGGGGGGCCAGGAGAGAACAGCATAGGGGGGCCAGGAGAGAACAGCATAGGGGGGCCAGGAGAGAACAGCATAGGGGGGCCAGGAGAGAACAGCATAGGGGGGCCAGGAGAGAACAGCATAGGGGGGCCAGGAGAGAACAGCATAGGGAGGCCAGGAGAGAACAGCATTGGGGGGCCAAGAGAGAACATTATAGGGGGGCCAGGAGGAAACCGTAGGGGTGGGGCCAGGACGATGGATCAGCAGCGGGGGCACACGCATGCGTGCCCTGGACCCAAAAGAAAGATCGCTACATACAGTTACGTCGCCCAGCTTGGAGCTGCCGCCCATTGCAGTACAACTACCACTTGCAGGCAAGCAGTTAACATAGGCAGGTGAAGAACATCCTAGCTGGTCACTATTGTAAAGCTTTGTTTTTTTGAATTCGAGGAACAGTTGGGTGAGGTTAGGGATGGGTAGTTGGGCACCAATAAAGAAGCTGAGAGGCCATCGGTATAAAACACCCACCGGGCTTACAGATGAATGAGATGAGGGTTAAATTCTCCTGGCAGGATGTGGCTGATCCATGGGTGCATGTTCACTTGACATGTTTGCTCATTGCACTTATATGCCTGACAAAAGGGCTCCAGTGTGGCCTCGAAATGTTTCATTTGCACTAAATGTGATGTGATCCCTTCGATAAACATTTGGACTATGTTATGGATCCATGGTGTGTTGGCGACATGTTCTTATTATTTGAGATGTCGGGTACTGATGTTGGATGGGAAGACCTGGCCCACATGTTGTGCCTCACATTGGGCACCAAAAAAAAAAAGACCTGGCTCACAATCTGCACTCCAGTTCATTCCAAAGCTGTTCAGTAGGGTTGAGGTCAAGTTCCTCCAACACTCAAGTTCCTCCACACCAGACTGGTCAAGCTATGTCTTTATGGAGCTGGCTTTGTACATCGGGGCAGAGTCATGGTGGGCCAGAAAAGGGTCTTCACCAAACTGTTACCACAAGGTTGGAAGACAATTGTCTACAATGACAATTTAATATCTGTGACTATCATGGGATGTCATGTGACATGTTCTCTCCTCTCTCTTTGCAGGATTTGGGCTGCGGATCCAGCTTAGGCCTCATCTCCGACAACTTGCTGGTGACGGGCGGCCAAGGCTGCGTGTCCTTCTGGGACATCGGCTACGGCGATCTTCTACAGACTGTTTACCTGGGGAAGTACGAGGAGGCCCAGCCTGCTCGCCAGATCCTAGTTCTGGACAATGCGGCGATCGTCTGCGATTTTGGCAGCGAGCTGAGCCTGGTCTACGTCCCGTCCGTGCTGGAAAAGTTGGACTGAAGAAGACGGGCCAAGCCAAGGACTGCTGAGAAGCCAGGCTTTAACCCTCAAGGGGGAGGGTTCATCCGACAGCCGATGACATACACGTTCTCACTATACTTCCAATGGAATTGTCAGATTTTCCGGTTTTCCAGGTTACGACGCCAACCTGTCTCACCTCCGCCGTTTCATGATAGATTTTATTTTTCTGCTGAGAGGCAGGTTTGTGTTGACCAGGAAAGGGCAGAAAAAAAAAAAAAAAAAGGATTCGTGATGAATCCGGGGCCCTCCGCCATCACGCAGGGCACGCCTTGAATGTCCCAGACGGCATGCTCTGTACTTTATCACCGCCTGTGACGCTGAGATATATAGGGGGCGGCACGCAGGTCTGACCCCGTCACAAATAGGCTCTTGAACTGACCATGCTGCACTTTGTAATGGTACAGAGTATCCTAAAGCACTTCATTCCACAAGTCTAACCGTAAGGAGATCGCGCTTTGGGCCGCTATCGCTATATCGGATCCTCGACCGCCAGAAATAACTGGGGAAGGACCCTGGGGGGGGGGGGGGGGGGGGGGGGGGGGCGCAATGTCCTAGTAGTGTTCTAGAAATGGGAGTGGAGGGTGTCCACCATGGCAATCAGGTAGCAGCCTTCAAGATCAAACCTTCACCAGGTACCTGATGGCTGTGGGCAACAGCTGAACTCCAAGCTCCAGTCAGTTTATTGTAGCAAGGGCAGTGACTGAAGGCAGCAAACATTGCAGCTTCCAGGCTCGGGGGGTAGATGGGAATAGAGAATTGGGTAGGGAGATATGGGCAGGTAGACTGATACTCTTCTCAGGGTGGTGGTCTGTAGACAGGTGCTCTTAATGCAACAAGATTGACTCGCTTCCTGCACTTTGACCTTCTTTCCCTTTTTAGGGTTGTCCTCCTAAGAGGATCCGTCAGAACGGAAATGTGAGCTCCCCCTGCTGAGCCTCCATGGTGTCATCCTTATCTGTCCCTCACTACCCAAGAAAAGTGAGTAGGTTTAAGCAGAACAAATTTTCTTTCGTTCCCATGCAGTGGGGTTGTGCCTACGCTACATGGGTTAACCGCTCGTTCTGCCAAGGGGTGATCAGAAAGCCTTATACTCACCCGATCCTCCGTTCCAGCATTAAACGGCGCTCCCCCACGATCCAACGGTGGACTGATCCCGATGTCTTCACGTCCTGAGCAGGTCTATGGTCGCGATGACGTCAGGAACTGTCCACCACACTAGACCGCGGGGGAGTCGCAGGAATCGGTCTTGCGCTTGGAGGATTAGGTATTCTTCGATCCCCTAGACAAAAAATTAGCGGTTAACCCATGTAGTGCAGGCACAGCCCCACTGCATAGGAACAAAATACATTTGCCTGGAGTTCTGCTTTAATGAGGGATAGACTTGACAGACTCAAATCTTTTACCTAACAAGTCCGCACTGGTGGTTTCCATATTTTCGTCCCAATGGGTCCTCTTAAGCCGCTGTTGGCTAAAGATGTCTGTAGTTGCGTCTCCTCTGGTGGTGTCACAATTTGTGAGCGTTCTGCAGAAAACAGAATTGTCTCAGGGAAGTCTTTACAGGATACGGCCGGCGCCCTTTGGACTGAACCCGTACCCACCAGTTTTATACGCCTAAAAACCACCATTTCTGTAGTCCAGCAGGGGGCAGTAGCTGGGGAGGTAGAGACCCGAATTGTGCAACAGATGGCCTGAAACCCGTTGTGAATGGAACCATCACGGGGAGGTCTCAAGTATGCTCTGCATGCTCACCTAGAGGCTTTCTGGGGTTTATTTTACTACAACTGCAGTAAATGAAAGATGCAGACTTCCCCTTTGCAAAAGCGCACTCCTATTTAAATTCCCACTTTGTCGGGGTCTATGAAGAGGTCCAAAATAGACCATTTATAAAATATATGAGGGGCCTTCAAAAAGTTTTCTTGTGTGTGCGTGTGTGTGTGTATATATATACGTGTGTGTGTGCGCATATATATATATATGTGTGTGTGTGTGTGTATATATATATATTGCAGGGATGGACTGACAACTCATGCGGCCCCCGGGCAATAGGAGATCATGGGGCCCCTGTGTCCTCGCCCACATTCAAACCACACCCAAAAAAGCCTATGAAAGGCACCAGGGGCATCTCATGGGGCCCCCTACTGACCCCGTATATGTGTGTGTGTATATGTGTATGTATGTATGTATATATATATATATATATATATATATATGTGTGTGTATATGTGTGTGTATATATATATATATATATACGTGTGTGAAAAAGTGCAGAAACTTTTTGAAGAACCCTTGGAAGTTGCGGTTTGATGTGCGCAGGGGGCAGGAAACTATATGTAGGATTTGGACTAGGCCCCTAGGGTTCTCCTTTGGCCAAAAATGTCACAAAGAGGGAGGCGCCATAGATGTGGATTTATACTTGCCCGTCCCCCCTGCTCGTTCTTCGATCTTCACTCTCCTAGAGATCGATGTCCTCTTCTCCTCCAACACACACTGACTGGTCCCCCACTACCCTCCGGGGGAGATTTATTACCGCAATAGCCTGTCAAATCTGTGCAATTTTGCTGCAGAAATGTTAGCGTTTAATTCTCGGGTCTGTTTTGTGACCACAGCTGAGGCTTTCCATGACGGTGCAGACAAATCGTGACCATCCGCCTCTTTTTTTTTTTTTTCTGTTGTGCCGTAAGGGGCGAGCGCTAATTTAAAGTGGCTGTAAAATAATAAATCTGCGTCTTCGTTTCCCTGGAGATATGAATGCAGCCAATGGTTGTTAACCAGCAGTTATAAGGGGTAACCGTCCCCTTTATATTATTTTATTGTCAGAAAATTAGGACTCTCCCCAAAAATGTCCCCTATTGTAAATTTTTCTAGTTTTGGATGGAGTGGGGAAAGCTTTAGGTCAACTGTTGGGTTTTTACTGCTATCCAAGGTTCTCCTATTTACTAACATTATCCTCTTTAAGACCGGACCTTTTTTTGACACTTTGTCTAAAAAATTACTTGGGACCCCCAAACATTAAATATTTTTTTTTTTTTGCAGAGGTCCTGAGAATAAAATGGTGGTTGTTGCAATTTATTATGTCGCACAATATTTGCGCAGCGGTTTTTCTAGCATAATTTTTTTTGGGAAAATGATGAATTTTAATGTAAAAATAACACACACACCCCAAAATATGCAAGAACCACCCATCACACCCACCTGACTGGTCCATCCTGTCCAGACCCCGATTCCAAATATACGAGGACCACCCATCACACTCGGGTTACTGGTTCATCCTGCCCAGACCCCAACTCTCAATATGCAGAACCCACCCATTTTACTGGTTCATCCTCCCCAGACCCCCAACTCCAGCTATGCAAGGACCACCCATCACACTCAGGATCTGGGCAGGATGAACCAGTAAACAGAGTGTGATGGGTGGTCCTTGCATATTTGGAGTTGGGGTCTGGGGAGGATGTGCCAGTAAAATGGGTGTGATGGGCGGTCCTTGCATATTTGGAGGTGGGGTCTGGGGAGGATGTGCCAGTAAAATGGGTGTGATGGGCGGTCCTCGCATATTTGGAGTTTGTTTACTGGTTCATCCTGCCCAGATCCTAACTCCAAATATGCGAGGACTGTCCATCACACCCATTTTACTGGCACCTCCTCCCCAGACCCCAACTCCAAATATGCAAGGACCATCCATCACACTCGGTTTACTGGTTCATTCTGCCCAGACCCCGTCTTCAAATATGCGGGAACTGAACATCACACCCATTTTACTGGTTCATCCTCCCAAGATCTCAACTCCAAATATGTGAGGACCGCCCATCACACCCATTTTACTGGTTCAACCTCACAAATATGCAAGGACCACACTCGGAGTCTGGGCAGGATGAACCCAGGTGATCGGCGATCCTCGCATATTTGGAGCTGGGGGTCTGGGGAGGAGGAACCAGTAAAATGGATGTAATTGCCGATTCTCACATATTTGGAGTTGGGGTCTGGGGAGGATGAACCAGTAAAATGGATGTGATGGGCGGTCCTCGCATATTTGGAGTTGGGGGTCTGGGGAGGATGAACCAGTAAAATGGATGTGATGGGCGGTCCTCGCATATTTGGAGTTGGGGGTCTGGGGAGGAGGAACCAGTAAAATGGATGTAATTGCCGATTCTCACATATTTGGGGTCTGGGGAGGATGAACCAGTAAAATGGATGTGATGGGCGGTCCTCGCATATTTGGAGTTGGGGGTCTGGGGAGGATGAACCAGTAAAATGGATGTGATGGGCGGTCCTCGCATATTTGGAGTTGGGGGTCTGGGGAGGAGGAACCAGTAAAATGGATGTGATGGGCGATCCTCACATATTTGGAGTTGGGGTCTGGGGAGGAGGAACCAGTAAAATGGGTGTGATGGGCGGTCCTCACATATTTGGAGTTGGGGTCTGGGGAGGAGGAACCAGTAAAATGGGTGTGATGGGCAATCCTCACATATTTGGAGTTGGGGGTCTGGGGAGGAGGAACCAGTAAAATGGATGTGATGGGCGGTCCTCACATATTTGGAGTTGGTTTACTGGTTCATCCTCTCAAGACCCCATCTCCAAATATGTGAGGACCACCTATCACACCCATTTTACTGGTTTATCCTCCCCAAACCTCAACTCCCAAATATGTGAGGATCACCTATCATATCCTTTTTATTGGTTCATCCTCCCAAGACCCCAAGTCTGAATATGCAGAGCCCCCATCACACCTAGGTTAGTGGTTCATCAAGCCCAGACCCCAACTCTCTATATGTGAGGACCACCCGTCACAACCTATTTTACTGGTTCGTCTTGCCCAAACCCCAGTTCTGAAAATGCAAGGACTACCCATCATAACCAGTTTATGGGATGGCATGAAGTATATATTCCTTTCACACACCATAGTGGTGGAGAGGGTGCTGCCACGACTCCTGACTGGTTGCCATGTACAACGTGGATGGAATATGGCGTCCACACGCCAAGTT